TAATAAAGATTGTGCAAAGCTACCGCACGTTAAAATAAAAAAAATAAAATAAAATAAAATAAGCAAATAAAATATAAAAAGTTAATAAATAATTTTAAATATAATAATCTTTAATTTTTTAAAAATAAGTTAAAATAATTATTATTTGAAAAGTTTTAATTAATAATTTTTTAAAGTTATAAAAAATGAAAAAAATTTATTAAAAAGATAAATACATTTAATCTATATTATAATATTTTAGATTATTATTAAATTAAAATAATAATCATTTAAGAATTTGATAGATATTGATCAAATATTATATATAATTTATATAAAATCTTAATAAAATTGCATTTACTTTTAATATGTTGATAATTAATATTAAGTAGTAAATTATATTTTTATTTAATTAATCATTATAATGTCAAGATTAAAATTTTTAAAGTTTTTATTTAATATTATCCTTTTAAAAAGAAATTAACATAATAAATGCAATTATAAATATTCTTAATAAATTTAATTAAATAAATAAAACTTTAATATTTATAATAAATAAATAATAAATTATCAATAGTAGTTTATTAAAAAAATAACTAAAGAATTTAAATAGATTTTTTTTTTAAATATTACTATTATTAAGTTTATATCTTAATCTTATAATTAAAATTAGCATAAAAAAAATTAATAAAGAAATATTAAATTAATAATTTCTGTTTTATTATATGATAATTTATATAAATTATGTATTATAAAAAATTTGAATATTTTCAGTTTTAAATAAATATAAAAACAAAATAAAACTTTACTTTTTATATTTCAAAAATTGTAATAAATAAAAATAATATTAAAAATATTTATAATTAAATATATAAAATTTAATATATTATAAAATAAACTTATTATTAATTAATATTAAAAAAAAAATACTTATTATCTTAAAACTTTTTGAAAAAAATAACTATAATTTTTTCTAATTTATTATATTTTACTATAGCTAAAATACATTATTTTTTTAATAAAATAAAAAAGATGATATTTTTTGATTTATATATATTAATAAATCTAATTAATTATATAATTAAAAATATTAAATAATCATTAATAATGCAACTATAATCACTTTATTAATTAGATCCTTAAACTAAATATTTATTTTTGAAATTAAAAAATAAATAATAAAGGTAATTAATACCTTAAAAGAATAATTTTTTTATATTTTATCTAAAAAATATAATCATAAACATTTTATTTTTAAGAGAATTTAAATTATTATCATTATAAATATATTTTTACTAATTAAAAAAATTATTTAAAAGTTTTATAAATTTTTATCTTATTTAATTTTATTTTTACTAAATTAATTAATATTTAATTTATTATATCTAATTTTAATTAACACTTTTATTAATAGTAAGAAATTATTTAGCTATATAGGTAATAATATAATTTAAAAATAAGACTTTTCTAAAATAAATAACATTATAAGTAAAATACAAATAAGTTATATCTAAATAACAAAAGTATTATTATATATTAAAGTTAAATTTGATAATCAATTTAATAAGCAAATTGAAAAAAAATAATTAGATAAAATAAAAAAATTTTATCTTATACAAAAAATATTTTAATAAAATCAGTTAAGTTAACATAATAAACTTTTAATGATTCATAATTATATAATTATATATTATAATATAATAATCTTAAAATCTTAATATATATGATATAATAATAGTTAATAAATTAGTCAGACTTAAGTTCTAAGATTAAGTAAGTTAAAGACTGAATCTGATCAGATCTAAATCTAAAAACTTTTTATATACAAATATAATCTGCAAATTTATATAATAAAGATTAAATTAAATTAGAATAAATTTTACTAATCCTAATACTATTATTAAGTTTAAGTAACTTTAATAAAAAATTCACATTGATATTTATTGATTAATTTTGATTAAAATTTTATTATCAAAAAAAAATTAACCAAATACTGTATATTAAGTTGATTAAAATAATTATCAATTAATCAAAAATTTTGCCTAATAATTCACAAAATTAAATAATTTGATCTATTTTCTTTAATTTTATCTATTTGATCTAAAATTTTATTCAAATTTTAATTTTGCCAGCTAATAATTATCAACTCAAAATCTGATCAAAAATCCAAACAATCAGAAATGAAGACCTATTGTGATAGTGAGACAAACATCATATGATTCAAACTCTCATTGTTTAAAAAATAATTTTTTGATGATTTAGACCTTTTTTCAACATTCAAAACTTTAAATAAATTATGGTTATTATATATGCACATTATTTTTTTAATCAATAAAACAAATCTCAAAGTTTGAAATATAAATTGTTTTGCATTTCATCACATACGCTGTAATACTGATCAGCCAAGAAAAAAATAATTTTAAAGCTCAAATTATAGGTAGACTTTATTATTTTTTATTAATATATTATCTATTTTAATTACAAAATAAAAATGATTAAACCGCATATCACATTAAATGTTGTTTATATACACAAACTTGAATTTAGTAAAAATAGTGATTATTATAGTTTAAATTAAAACAAATAAACTAATAAGCAAGTTGAAACTAAAAGCTTTAATAAGTTCATACTTTCTTCTTAGTGGATGAATAGATAATTTGTGTGGTCATTTTTTGACAGGTCTTGCTCTTATTATCATCACTCTACAGAAACTCTTGTATGGATTCTGAACTTTTAGATAATAAACGCTAATTATGGAAATGTAAGTTCTATATTTATATATATATAGATTCCAATTATTTATACATATCTTGTATTTTAATAGACCTGTCACTATCTCATACAATTTTTTCATATCTTTACATGATTTCAGAAAAGGAATTTTTAACACTTCTATCATTGTGTATACTTCAGCATATTTGAGATAAAACTCATATATCGTTAACTGATTTATTGTAAATGTCAAGAGTTAAGAGAAAATAATGAGAAAAATAGAAAGTTATCAAACATAAATAAGAACTTATAATATGACTGTATGACGTAAAATTAAGCAATCTAATATTAGAATTTGAACGTAATTCTGCTAATCAATTTATTAATGTCATCATTATTTTATGATTTTCATTCAATCTCCTTTAAAATAGTTCCAATCTGATTTTAACAGAAGTCTACTGACTTCAATGATGAAAATTCTTCATCTTCCTCTTTCAGAGTAATAATTTTATCTATTTTTTTGCCAGAAGATCTATGACTATCATCCTTCTTTTAAGCGTAATACTAATCAAATATTAGCAATACAAATATCTTCATGAATCATTCTATCCCTCATTCGACTTCTAATCTAACTTCAACTTATTTTGATTGTATTCTTACAATACCTAAAAGTACTTTTATCATATATCCTTTAGATTGTTTTACTATCTATTTATTTTACTAACAGCTAATCAGAGATTGGCGTTCCTAGTTTAGTTGACAATAACTAAGCTCCTATTATAGGCTATACTGCAATAGCCATAGGTTCAAGTCTCAGCCAAGGAATAAAACTAAATGATTTTCATAAGAATTTTATATGTAACTAAATATGTAAGCGTATATACTAATATGTGTTAGAAACTAATTGATCGACCTGTTAATTGGTATTAATCATACCTAAATACTGAAATTGTAGAACAAGTGAATACAAATAAAGTCAGTGATCAACAAAAACTTAGCTTTTGCTGATAGACTTGTAATGGATACTGTCTCACGTTTTCAATTTCAGGGGCTCTTATACAAGTAAAGAAGTAATTAACCAGTAATTAGTAGATTGAGTGACATCTTGAGATACCCTCGAGATGATTATGATTAATAATAGACTGCATTGTACTGCCGCAGCAACCATCTAATCGAGTTGTCAATTGAGGTATAAGCCAAGTTCAATTCCTGAATGAGTTTGATGATATGAGTATGATAGCTACCTATCTTTCTGAAATCTTATAAAGATAATAATATCTAAGCTTTTTCGATCATATATAAAATCCTGATATCAGATAGAAATAATAGTAATTCTGATTGGTGTTGATAAAGACAAGAAAAATAATTGACTAAAAGTATCTGTAGCTAAAAGTGATCTTTCTATCCAAATTTGATAGTAATTTTAAGGTTCAGTGACCCTAGGGATTCTGCTCCTAGAGGATCGCCTAGGTGGCAATCCTTAGACCAGTATATTAATGGAATTAGGGATGATAATTGAATCAGTTAAGATCTTTTCAAAAATTGCATCAGCAGTAGTAAGGATTCACATAACTTGTGTATATTATTTTTTCACTATATGAGTTGATTACTAGGAAAATCAGGTTCCGGAAATTTTTTAACAAAATTGAGATTTTTATTGCATTTTAGTTTTTGATATTATTAGATTAAAATGTATTAAGCTCTTAATTTAAGTCAAAAATTTCTCGGAACCTGATTTTCCTAGAAACCCTCCCATATGACCCTTCTGGTATATTGAATACTAAAAAAAAAACTTTAACAACTAATTCTTTACCTTAAGCAAATCTCTCCATATTTTGCACGCTAATTTTTTTTATGTTTTATAAAAATTTAATTTAAAATTAGACCTAGAACACTAATGATGTAGGTTCCTTCAGATATCAGTTCTAGAAGCAAATTTATCTCTTTAATCAACTTTATTCTGTATAAATAATAATTAGTCTCATTTCATTAGAGATTAAGAACAAATATAAATAAATATCTACATGTGATCTACAAAATTTAATGTGAAATTTCTTTCAAAAGAATTGTTATGATTTTTATATTGTTGAAGTATATTATTAGCCTTGTTGATATCACACACAATAATTTTATCTAATAACAATTTGATATCCTATTCATTTGACATTTCTTTTTTTTCATTATATCTTGAAGTATTTGTTGAACTGTAACCTTTTCTAGTGTCTTTAGAAAACCATTTCTATCTTTGGCATTGAAAAAAAATTACATCATAATACTCAGTTTTTAATTTCTTTTCAGTTGATATTCTGTTAATTTTTTTCAAATATTAAAATTATTAATAATCTAAGAAATATTTTTCCCTCTAATAATAGTTTGATCTGTGTCATTTTTTCTTTAGTATCATAATCATCTTCAGGCTTATGATCATGTTTCCTATTTTGTGAATAGGATATGAGAAGACTCGTTTCAAGTTGCTTATATACTGAAGGAGTTTCATAAAATGAAAATAGATTATCTATATTTTCTAATAATTCTAATGATAAATTCTGACATATCAGTATCACCGTATAATATGTGGCATCAGACTACAAAAAGAAAAGAGATAACTAAACTCAATTATTATCTCTATTGAATAATCAAAATTACAGTTCTTATTAGCGTTGTCAACCCTACTAATAGCAGTTTGAAGAATCGTTGCAGTATTTTGCATCACGAAATAGGTTGCACCTATCTATGCAATTAGAAAATCAAAGTTAATATGAGAGTGAAAATGAAGAAAACGTGAAGAAATATTCAAAAACTAACCTCAAATAAACGTAGTTCTTTTTTCTTACTTTTGATTGCTATATTAGCAAGATCATCCTCAATATTATTCCAGAATATTGCAACATCCTTATAATGATTGCAATAATTCTTTATAGTAAGATAAAATTAGTAAATAGATGTGTATTAAATTTTTATCGTATCTGAATGCAGACTATAACGGACATATAAAATCATAAAGTAGGTAACACATAAGATATCTACCATAGTTATGTGAGTTTTACTCCTTCTTGGAATTACTAGAAGTCTTTCATACTGCTTATCAAAGTAAACTTAAAAAGAAAATATATTTGCCTTAAAGTTTTGCTACAGCCGACTGGTATAACTTATCTTCTCTTCTGAACCTCCTTTACTGAAAGATCTAAACTCTTCTGAAATCTGTTGGCTTCATTTTGGAATGAAAATGTGAAATTGTCTTATTTTTAATGATACTGATAAAAGCTTAAAAGGTGGTATTCTTTAGGTGAAGTCTCATTGAAGTAAATATTCCAATGTACACTCATTTCAATTTTTAATGTAAAATTAGAAAAAAAAAAACAAACAGATTATATGTTGATTTATCGCATAATACATCAGTCAGTCGATCATTTTAAAAAAAAAATGAAAATTTAAAAGAATTATGTAAAGGATTTAGGAGAGAAAATTAAGAAAAATCAACCCTGTTAAAACACATAAGAAAAACATGTCAGAATTTTTTTATCCTTAAAAATCGTTAAATGTTAAGTTTTTCATTTTTTTCATTTCTATTTCTGTTATTGATAGATAAAAATTTAAGAAAATTTAAATAGAGAAAAAAAAAATTAAAAGATAAGATCGATCAAAATGATTAGATAGTTGAATGAATTTTCGATATTTGAATTTTATTTAACTTCATCTATAAATAATCCGTAAATTATCTGCAGATAAAGGATTGCATTACTAGTAAAATGTAAAAAGTTGTAGAATGACCTTATGCTTCCATATGGTAAAAAAAAAATTGTTTTTTAAAAAATTAAAAATAATATGTAAAATAATCGAAGAGATATTGAAGAAGGTAAAGGAGAAAATGAATAAGTTAGAGGATAAGTTAGAGAAAAAAGAATGGATTAGTGATAAAGAATTGAAGGAGTTATGGAAAGAGTGAAGAAGTAGATTAATAAAGGTAAAGGAAGGGTTAGAAGAGTCAAAAAAGAAATAGGAGATGAGATGATGAAGTGGGAAGATAAATTACATAAATTTAATAAAGTAATAGGTAATGAACAACAAATTGCATAAACAAATTATATTATTTCATTTATTTATTTATCTATATATTCGACTAGTTTATGTTTCTTATTATATTTTTATTTTTTTATCCTTGCTTTTTATATACTATGTAGAGAATGAAAGGATCTATATAGATAACGATGTTCAAAAATTATAAAGGTAAGTTTTGTTGTTGTGTTTATTTTCTTTGCAGATTATGTTTACTCAACAATTTATTTTTAAATATTATAAAGAAAATTAAATTCATTGTAGTTTAGAATCTTTCAAATGATGATTTTACAATTTCATAAGATAGTTTACTTAAAACAGTCATGCTATTATTAGAAGAAAATTTATATATGGTTATACTATTATTGATAAATCTGTTTTATAGGGAAAAGTCATTAGAAATACAACAGTAAATAAGTTAGTACAAAAAAATGGATTGCTCAATATTATCGAGTAGGATCAAGAAGAATTAACTTTTGAAAAAGCAGAATTATTTAAATATAAACATGTTATTATTTCGCATTTATTTACAGTAGCAGTCATAAGTATCTGATCACCCAAAATTATCCAAAATTATTATATAACTACCTCTTAAATTTTTTAGAAATATAATGTAACACAATACATGATCACCTGTAAATTTATAAGTGTTAATAATACAAAAAAAAAATTTAGATGATCATCAAACTTTCGCTTGAGAAATGGAACTTTCTTTAGAGAAACAATATGAAATTGTCTTTTTACGTGAGCACCCAGCTGGTCTAAAGTTTAGTTTTGGATTTATTGCTAAATAGGTATGTTGTAGTAAGTTTATAGCTATTTATTGGGTTAAAAGATATCATAAAAATTGGGACCTAAGTACTTCAGAAAGACCGGGGTGGCCTTGTATAACATTCACAAAACAAGATGACAAGATTGTAAAAATTGCAGAGAAAGAACATAATATAACAGCCATTCAAATACAAGAAAAAATGAAAGAAAGAGATATTGGGCTTAGTGTAAAAACAGTAAGATGACGTCTTCGTAAGTCTGGAGGAAAGTTTAGTAATGAAAATTTTAAACCTTTGCTTAAAGAAAACCATTGAAAGAAAAGGTTGCAATGAGTAAAAAAACATAAAAATTTTAATTGGAATTGAGTTATTTTTATAGATGAGAATACATTTCAATTATATACATCAAAAAAAGGTTTGGCAGTTTCCTGGTAGAAAAAAAGTGTTTCATTCTGTTAAGCATCCACCAAAAGTTCATGTTTGAAAATGTTTTTCTGCTTCTGGATTTAATAAGCTATTTTGCTTTCAGAGGAACCTTAATGCTGAATTTATGTGTAATATTTATAAGCAAGGTCTTCTGGCTTTCACCTCTAAACTTTTTGGTGAAGGTAACATAGATTGAATCTTGTAAGAAGATAATGATCCAAAGCATCAATTGAAAATTGTGAAAAAATGGAAGAAAGAAAATAGCATTGAAGTACTTTCTTGGCCATTAATGTCTTCAGACTAAAACCCTATAGAAAACGTTTAGAGGTTAATGAAAATTAATATACAAAAAAAAAAATTTGATTAATTAGAGGGTTAAAGGAGGAACTTACAAAAGAATGGAACTAATTATCACTTGTACTTGCTGCAAATTTGATAGCTAACATAAAAAGGCGTACAGCTACACTTATAGAGTCAGATGGTGACTATACAATGTATTAATTTTAGTTAGTTAGTTATGTATTTTTTAAATAAAAAAAA